ACCTGTTTCTCCCTCTCCCACTCCCCCTGTTTGTGTTCCCTCTCTTGCTGTGTGTCTCTCTCTGTCAAATAAATAAATAAAAATCTTAAAAAAAATAAAAATAAAAAATATTATTACTTAAACAGGTGTACCACATTTCAAGAAGTGCCCAGTTGTAACCTTTGAGATACCACCTCGGAGTCCCAAGACTCTATGGGAAGGTTAAAACCACTGGCCCTGGGGCACCTGAGTGGCTCAGTCAATTAAGCATCAGACCTTAGTTTTGGCTCAATCATGATCTCAGGATCATGAGATCAAGTCCCGTGTTGGGCTCCACACTCAGCGCGGAGTCTGCTTGACATTCTCTCCCTCTCCCTCTGCCCATCCCCCCACCTGTGTGCTCGTGCTCTCTCGCCCTCTCTCTTCCTCTCTATAAAACAGAAACAAACAAACAAAAAACAGCCATGGATCCCAAAACTCTCTAACGGCTGTCCCTGCCGGAGCTGACATTCGATGCTACCTTGTACACCATCCCAGCCCAGGCCTGGGGGTTCTGAGAGGACGTGAGTCTGCTTCAGCAGACGTAGATTTACCACGAAGCCTGTGAAGCTTAAGCTTTAGGACACATTCCTTGTATGGGGTTATATGTCTTATAAAATTTGCAAAAGTAGGATATTCTAACCACAATCAGACCACTGTCTCTTTCTACCCCATCTCCTCCAACACACCTCACTTCAATGCCATGGGCGTTTTTGGACTCTCACTCGCTAAAGGAAGGTTGGTTTGGGTTTGGGTTTGGAAGGATATATGAATGGGGTTCTAGCTTCTTCCGGGTCTAGTTTTATTATTACTGGATGCTCCAAAATGGCTCCCGCGAATATTCCACATGCTCATTGTACTGTCCTCCCCCATGTTGTGATATGGAGGTGCAGAATCAGAGACCCTTACCATGCCTGGCCCGTCTGCTATGAGGGTGTTGGAGCTGAAATAAGGTTTGAAATGTATGAAGCCAGAAGCTACTCTGTGGAAAATGCTTCCAAACCTTATAGCTCACATATAAAAGGTGCTTGATAGAGGTTATCCCAAGTTTGACAACAATCCTTTTTTTTTTAAGATTTTATTTTTAGGGGCACCTGGTGGCTCAGTCAGTTAAGTATCTGCCTTTGGCTCAGGTCATGATCTCAGGGCCCTGGGTTGGAGCCCCACATTAGGCTCCCTGCTCAGCAGGGAGTCTGCTTCTCCCTCTCCCTCTCCCTCTGC